CGGTGAGAGGAGTAGCAGACCCTTGACCAGAAAAGTCTCTGTTTCTGCTGCAATTATCAGTCCTTACAGGTATCCTCCTCGATTCCCTCTCCCTCAACCGGAAATTTTGATTCAGGTTGCTAACTCTCGAAATTAGGGTTTCATTATCTCGATTATGAGGTTTCCTTTCACTTCCTTCTCTCTGTTTGCTTTCTATTAAGAAGTTCTTCCTATCTACAATTGCAGGCTGCTCATTGTGTTCCGCCTGGCAGCACTCGGGTTGTTCCTCACATGGAGGATCCGGCACCCGAACCGCCACGCAATGTGGCTGTGGGCGATGTCAGTAACTTGCGAGCTCTGGTTTGCACTCTCATGGATTCTGGACCAGCTATACAAGCTTTGCCCAGTCAACAGAGTCACTGATCTCTCCGTTCTCAAAGAAAGGTTCGAGTCTCCGAATCTCAGGAACCCAAAAGGAAGGTCCGATCTCCCTGGAATCGACGTCTTCGTCTCCACAGCTGACCCTGAAAAGGAACCACCTTTAGTCACTTCAAACACAATCCTTTCAATTCTAGCAGTCGACTACCCAGTCGAGAAGCTGGCATGTTATCTCTCTGATGATGGTGGATCCCTTTTAACCTTCGAAGCTCTAGCTGAGACTGCTAGCTTTGCCAGAACGTGGGTTCCATTCTGCAGAAAGCACAAGATCGAGCCGAGGAACCCTGAGGCTTACTTTGGGCAGAAGCGGGATTTCTTGAAGAACAAAGTGAGGCTCGATTTCGTACGGGAGAGGAGGAGGGTGAAGAGGGAATATGACGAGTTTAAAGTGAGGATTAACTCCTTGCCTGAGTCGATTAGGAGGCGATCGGATGCTTATAATGCTCATGAGGAGTTGAGGGCCAAGAAGAAGCAAATGGAAACTGGGGGCGACAATCCAGCTGCTGATTCTGTGAAAGTGGCTAAGGCTACTTGGATGTCTGATGGGTCTCACTGGCCTGGAACTTGGGCTTCTGGAGAGGCTGACCATTCTAGAGGAGACCATGCTGGTATCATTCAGGTAATGTGAAAACAAGTTTATATGTTTCGATTAGACTGTTTGCTGATTTGTTCATCTTTCATACTGAAATGCTTGTGTCCTTTGCTTCTTTAATTGACACCAGGCAATGCTAGCTCCACCAAATGCAGAACCAGTTTTTGGGTCACAAGCAGATGGGGAGAACTTGATAGACACGACAGAGTTCGACATCAGATTGCCGATGCTGGTCTACGTCTCCCGCGAGAAGAGGCCCGGTTATGATCACAACAAGAAGGCAGGAGCTATGAATGCATTGGTGAGAACAAGTGCAATCATGTCCAATGGTCCATTCATCCTCAATCTCGACTGTGATCACTATGTTTACAACTCCTTAGCCCTAAGAGAAGGCATGTGCTTCATGCTTGATCGAGGTGGAGACAAGATATGCTATGTCCAGTTCCCGCAAAGGTTTGAAGGGATCGATCCCAGCGATCGATATGCAAATCACAACACAGTGTTCTTCGATGTCAGCATGAGAGCACTGGATGGGTTGCAAGGCCCGATGTATGTTGGAACAGGCTGCATTTTCAGGAGGACCGCTCTTTATGGCTTTTCTCCACCCAGGACTACTGAGCACCATGGATGGTTTGGGAGAAGGAAGATCAAGTTGTTATTAAGGAAACCCAAGTCTTTGAGGAAGAAGAAGAAAGATGAGGATGATGATGAGATTTCTCTGCAAATCAATGACGATGAGAATGATGATGGAGAGATTGAGTCATTGCTGTTGCCTAAAAGGTTTGGGAACTCTACATCACTGACTTCATCCATTCCAGTGGCCGAATACCAGGGGAGGCTGCTTCAGGAATTGCAAGTGCATGGGAGACCAGCCGGTTCACTTGCTGTCCCAAGGGAGCCACTGGATGCTGCGACTGTTGCGGAAGCAATCAGTGTGATCTCGTGTTTCTACGAGGATAAGACTGAATGGGGAAAAAGAGTCGGCTGGATCTATGGCTCGGTGACAGAAGATGTGGTGACTGGTTACAGAATGCACAATAGAGGGTGGAGGTCGATTTACTGTGTGACCAAAAGGGATGCATTTAGAGGCACAGCTCCAATCAACTTGACAGACAGGCTGCATCAGGTTCTTCGATGGGCAACCGGTTCGGTCGAAATTTTCTTCTCGAGGAACAATGCATTGTTTGCTTCACACAGGATGAAGTTCCTCCAGAGGGTTGCTTACTTCAATGCTGGAATGTACCCTTTCACGTCATTCTTCCTTATAATCTACTGTGTTCTGCCAGCATTGTCACTCTTCTCAGGCCAGTTCATAGTGGCTTCCTTGAATGTCACATTCTTAATCTACTTACTAGCAATCACGCTCACATTGTGCATGCTGGCACTCTTGGAGATCAAGTGGTCGGGGATAACACTCCATGACTGGTGGAGGAACGAGCAGTTTTGGCTGATCGGAGGAACGAGTGCTCATCCTGCAGCAGTTTTGCAAGGTTTACTGAAGGTGATTGCAGGTGTGGACATATCATTCACATTGACATCCAAATCTTCAGCTGCTGAAGAAGGTGGGGAAGATGAGTTTGCTGACCTGTATGAGGTGAAATGGAGCTTTCTGATGGTGCCTCCAATTACTATCATGATGTTGAACATGATTGCTATTGCAGTTGGGGTAGCCAGGACTCTGTACAGTCCGTTCCCACAGTGGAGCAGGCTGGTTGGTGGAGTGTTCTTCAGCTTCTGGGTTTTGTCGCATCTTTACCCTTTTGCCAAAGGGTTGATGGGGAGAAGGGGTAAAGTTCCAACCATCATCTATGTTTGGTCTGGCTTGCTGTCTATCATCATCTCCTTGTTGTGGGTTTATATCAGTCCTCCCTCTGGTGGTGCTCACCAGGATTTTGATAGTTCCTCGTTCCAGTTCCCTTGATCTGTTAAAACAAGAGAACTAGAATGTGGAAAGTAGAATGTGGAAAGTAGATAACAGTTTGGAGTAATAGCAAGGGGAAAACAGCTCTCTGCAAGGGGAAAACATGAAGCATCTGATTTCATTTCATTTTCCACCTATTGTATCCAGCCAGTTCTTTTCGATGACCTAAATTGATATTCAATAGTAATGAAAATTTAGATTGTCATTGTGTACAAGTTTTTGCTTTCTGTCTTGTTTGTGCAAAGTTCTAGTGTTGCTTGATATGCAGCTTTATGGCTTCATCTTCCAGATTCACGCTATCACTAACCTCAATGGCAAGTTCTACGTTCTCACAGGGAGCTGGTGGTGAATGACTTCTACCCAGTGACAAATTAAGATACCATCTTTTCATTTTTTTTATAATGGTAGATACCATCTTTAAATTTAAAACCTGCAGTCATGCATTGCTCCAAACATGGATGGCTGCTCGAGTCAATACTCAATAGGAAAGCTGGGGTAAGCAAGTCCTCTTCTTCAACCCTTCACCAAATAAACGATTGATCCCCAGTGGCCGAGTGGGGATCACATTTACTTCTCCAACATCCTCCGACGGCATAGTTTTTGGCTACTCGGTCTCTCCAATAGAAGTGAGACTCAAGTCCATCTACTTTAGTAATCCAGGTGGAGAGCTCCACTGTGCAGACTCAAGTTCATCTGCATAGTTTATGGGAAAGACAGGACGTGGAACCACCAACCAAGTTTATGAACTTGCCAAGTAAGCCTTGTAATTCAATTCGAAGAAGCTGTCTATTAGAGTGCAACAACAAACTTCTATCAGTGTTCACAGGGGGCACACAGGGAAATTTCTACAAGTATATGAGCACAACCAAGAGACCATGGCTTGGAAAAAACTCAACAGTCTGGGAGACACCATGCTGTTTTTGAGTTCTGCTTCTTTTTTTTTTTTGTAGAAAGACGGGCGAAAAACGCCCTATTGCATAATACTAATGGAACGAGTCATGGTAATCTCCATGACGTCATACAACAACCATTGTTTGAGGTTGGGATCACACACATTGAAGTGATGTGTGCCAAAAGGAAGGGTATGACCCTTAGCAGCCAAAAAATCAGCAACAAAATTCCCTTCTCTATACACATGGTTAACAACAACCTCCCAATCACGCATAATAAGTCTCTCAATCTTCCTGAACCCAAGCTTCCAAGCTCTATCAAGTCCGACAGCAGCTCCTTTTAATTCAGCCGCAGTTATGGAACAAACCCCCAGGTTGCAGGCAAACGCGTCCAAGCAATGACCGGCACTGTCCCTGATCACACCCCCTGCAGCAGCTGATCCTGAAGCTCCAGCCACTGATCCATCAGCTTGAACTTGGACCCAGCCCTTTCTAGGTGGTTTCCCGCCCACGTCCTTCTCAACCTGTCCTGAAGAACACACAGTAAAGCACTTGTTTGTGCTTGCTTTAGCTTGTTGATGGATATTCAGCCAAGCCTTAGCTTTACAGATCAGGCCCTCTTCAGAATACTTCTTCCCATCTAACACTTCCTCGTTTCTCTGTTTCCAAACGAGCCAGCAAAGGATGCCAAAGTCGATTCCTGTATCAGCATCAGTGGTATTCCTATGGATCAATTGACGACAATCGATCCATAGGAGTAGAGATTTGTTTCCGGCTTGGGAAATAAGGTGTTTCTGAACAGGTTTAACCGGAAGGATTGCATGTTCTAATCTCTAAACAACAAGAAAGTTCCACATCTTTTGACGTGACACCAAGGAATACATGAACTGTGCTTGGATCGTACCAAACTTCAAGGCACACTGGGAAGAGAAGCTCCGGTGGTATGATCCTGAAGTTCGAGTCGAAGAAACATAAGAATGAGGGCTTGTAAACTCTTTATCGTTGACATGTACAAGGTGCAGCATCTCTCTCTCTCTCTCTCTCTCTCTCTCTCTCTCTCTCGATTTGTTCAATTTATAGTTTTTCATCTGCATTCTGTCCTCTAGGTTAGGTCACATTGGCATCCTCAACAGTCAAAAGCTGGATTAGACACGCGCCATAAATATTTCACTAAGAATGCTCAATAGTCAGAAGCTACTACCAATGCATAATATTCAGCCTCGTCCATTTCCGATAGCAAAAATATGCCCTTCAAAGCTTTACAAATTCTATCAAACTGTAAATGAGAAACGTCCCCAGCCAAGAATTCATGAAACTTACCCTCAACATCTACCAAGCTTCGACCAGGAGTTTTCTTAACACCCTTCTCCCTCATCATGCTTCTTACCATCCTCACGTCACCCCATCTCTTATTCCCGGCACAAACAGTAGCCAACAGAACATATGTGCCGCTATCTTCAGGATCAAGCTCCAAAAGCTTATTGGCAGCAAGCTTCGCGAGTTCAACATTCCCATGCATCCTGGAAGCATTCAGGAGGGCTCCCCAAGCAGCTTGGCTTGGTTCCATTGGCATCCCACTGATCATCTTGAATGCATCTTCTAGTTGCCCGACCCTGCCAAGCAAATCAACCATACAAGCATAGTGTTCCCTCGTTGGCTCAATGCCAAAATCATTCTTCATGTTGTGGAAATACTTGTGGCCCTCTGCCACTAATCCGCCATGACTGCAGGCTGATAAGACGCCAACAAAAGTAATCCTGTCAGGCTTGAAATTGGTGAGTAGCATTTGGTGGAAGATACTGAGAGCTTGGTTGGGGTTTCCATGAGCAGCATATGCTGCAATTATTGAATTCCAAGAAACCAAGTCTCTTTTAGGCATATTGTGGAAAATGTTTGCAGCGGAATCTATTAGCCCGCATTTAGCATACATGTCAATAAATGCATTTGATATGATCAGAGTGTTCTTAATTTGTTGGTTGTCAATGTAGTGGAGATAAATCCACTGACCCAATTCCACAGAACCTAGCTGGCCACAGGCAGATAGGACACAAACCAATGTGTCCTCCATTGGAGCTAACCCAGCTTCTATCATGCGGTGAAACAATTCTATAGCCTCCTTTGGTCGATCCTTCTGGGAGTACCCGGCAATCAAAGCATTCCAAGAAACTGTATTCCTGTCAGGCATGTCATCAAACAACTTTCTCGCCAAGTCTAGCTCACCAGCTTTGGCATATCCATTAACCATGCTAGTCCAAGAGAACACATCCCTAACTTCCATTTTGTCAAAAATCTCCTCGGCAGCACCCAAGCAACCACATTTTATGTACATATCCAGAATCGCATTCATCAAATTCAGCGTAAAGTTGATGCTTTTGCTCCTAATGCATTCATGAACATTCTTACCCATTTCTAAATCCCCATTTTGAGAGCAAGCGGAAAGAATTGCAATCATTGTTACCTCATTCGGCTCAACATCGGAAGACAGCATATACTTGAAAAGCTTCATCGCATCAACGCATCGATTATTACTTGAATACTCATCTATCATGGACGTCCAGGAAACAGCATCCTTCACAGGCATTTCATCAAACAGCTTACCTGCTAACTCAACTCGCCCATGACCACCATAAAAATGAATCAGCACGTGGAAACCAACAAAGACCCACGAAACCCAGTCTTCCAAGTAATCCCATGAACACATTCCCCTTCAAACGCCGTCGAGAACTGCTCGCATACCTTCAGCGAGAAGACGAAGCTCCTTGCGTCCATCTCCGCCCTCTCCCTAACCATCCGCCCAAACAGCGAAAACCCAACTCGTGGCTGTTTAGCTTTACCCCACCCTCTAATCATGGTATTCCACATGTAATTATTAGGTTTCTCAATCCTTGCAAACAGAGCAGCTGCATGACAGATGTCTCCGCCGTCGGCGAGAGCGCAGAAAGCCAATGCACGGCTGGCGGGGAAAGTACGAGTGATGAGACTGGTGGTGGTCAGGTGGGCTTGGATTTGCTTCAGTTGGAGCATGGAATTGCAGGAATCCACCATGAGAAGCAGAGCCGGTTGATTGATGATGGCGTTGGTAGTGGAGTTCCATTTTGTCGCCGCTGCCGATGAGGTGGAAAATCGGTTGAGCGATCGGAATCTGGAGTAGGCAATGATCCTTCCTCGCCGGTTGCTGAAAATCGGAGCCGGAGAAAGAGGAGAATCGAGCAGCGAGGAGGAGACTGAGATGGCTGGAGAAGATGGAAATCGTTTCATATGAAAAAGAAGAACGGACAATGGCGGGGTTTGGGCGCGGGAAATACCATCCCCGGAAAGCATAAAAACGGAGAAAGATAACTGTCTACTATACGTTACTTTGGGCTTGGGCCTCGGGGCTCGTTTTGAATTCGATTGACCCACGAGACACTGATTGGGCTGCTCTATGGCTGGGCCTTATCAAACAAGGACACTGAAACTTGATTATCCTTAATCCTTAGACAAGTCGGAAACAAAATCCAATTCCTCTTAGAAAAAATAAGACATGAAAAGTTATATAAAGCTTAGAGAAGCCTCAAATCAATCAGGCATTACCGATTGCTCCCAACAGTAAAAAGAAAAAGATAAAAACAATTACTCAGTAAGAAACATGGCCCTCCGACTAGAACCATGGCTGCTGTACAGCCACGGTAAAAAGAAGAGGTCAAAAACCTTTTACAGCTTGTCGGAGGGTAATTACCACGTCAGCGACGTCCGGGAGATGCGACACCGTATGATCTACGCTCATTCCCACGGCTGGTTGGTCCTTGTTGATCAAGGTGAATGTTGGTTGTACAACCCTTCTACCACGGATGAAATCCAGCTGCCCAACTTTCCCAAAGGTCACTGCGCCCACCACTTCTCCAACTGCGCCCTCTCCTCTGACCCTAAACTCGAGGGGAGCATGGTTATGTTCATCCACCAGTACTCCGACGAGCCGCGGTTTCTTTACTGTAAGCCCGGGGATGTGCATTGGACGGTTGCTACGGTGGAGGGAAATTGCGGCAGTTGCGGTGATCGAATCTACGGTTATCGAGCCATTGCTAGTCTTGGTGACGAGTTCTATGTTCATACAGTTTGTTGTGAGAGCTTATTGAAGCTCCAGTTCAATCAATTCGACGACGACAAGGTGGTTGATGATGCGTTGATCAGCAAAATACGGTACTTGATGATGTTTTTTTTCTGATAAAAATTATGCAATATTCTAGCAATGTGTTTTAAGCTTAATTTGACTTGCTAACCTTCATCAGGTTACTTGATACCAAAGTAAGAAGACCCAACTGTCCGCGGACTTACTACCTGAGGGGAAGTGCAGACAGCACAAGCTTCTTGGCTCAGCTGCCCTCGCGGCCTAACGAGCTGATGATCGTTGAAGTCGATTACGGAGATCACATTGTCGATGACGATAGCATCAAGGATATCGGTTTTAAGGGCGTAGGGTTGTACATGGCCAATTTCGAACAAGGAAGGTGGGAGGATTTGGGAGACTTGCCTGACGATTGTGCGATCTTCCTAGGCTCCCATCCGGACAACATCCTCGTGTACAACATTCCGAAAGAGGATCTTGATGCAGGAATTTTTCGCGGGAACACGGTTTACTTCACCCAGTACAAAGACGGCGATCATCTCTACGCGTATGATGTCCGAGAGAAGAGTATCAGCGTCTGCAGGTTACATTGCACAAACACCAAACACTGTTCGGAACCGCAGTGGATTCTGCGTCTGTGCAGAATCCACCGCCGCATCAAAACACCAGCCAGGCCCAGTAATGATGCGGGCGGAGAGAAGAAGAAGGAGATTATTATGTCATCATCATTGCCTGAAGGAAGATGCATCAACGAGGGAAACCCTTGGTGCGACATTGAAATCGAGCTACTCAGTCGCATACAGTCCCGTCTATTTGGGGCAGACCGCTCCCACTTCCGGCTCACTTGCAAAACATGGCAATCGGCATTCTCCACCACCACCTATGCCTTCCTGAAACCAACTGAAAACCCACTGGCGCGATGCAGAGCCCATCGATCCCCGATCCTAGTACACATAGGAAAAGACGGCGAGCTGGTCAATTTCTTCGACCCAAAGACCAACTCCACCACCACCCTGCCTCTCCCCGGTCTGAAAGGCGCGGTGATTCGCAGCTCCAACCACGGATGGTTGCTTCTGTCACAAGGAAGCGCCGGCCAGAAGCTCTTCTTCTTCAACCCTTTCACCAGCTAGAGGATCGACCTCCCGAGCCAGCTCATGTACGATTTCGAGGGGATCGCCTTCTCGTCTCCTCCGACGTCTTCCGATTGCACGGTTCTGGGCTACTCTGTCGCGCCCATACTAGCCTTGTTCCGATCCCTTCGTCGGGGACAGCGCAAATGGACCGATTCGTCGGAGAGAATGAAGGGAATCCAATTCGACAACTCCTTCACAAATCCAGTCTACCACCGAGGGTTGTTCTACTTCATGGGGAAGAATGGAAACCTGTGCACTTATAACCCCAGACCAAAAAAGAAACAGAGTCGCACTCTGCTTTCCAACTTGCCGACCAAGCCCTGCGCCGCCTCCATACGGAGGAGCCATCTGATGGAGTGCGACGGGAAGCTGTTATCTGTTTTCACAGGCCACATGGGTCGATCTCTACAAGTTTACGAGCTCCACCAGGACCAGGGCACAATGACATGGGAGGAAGTCGCCAGTCTGGAAGACAAGGTGCTGTTCTTGAGCTCCGGTTCTTCCTTGTCGTCCACGAGCGAAGACATGGAGAGTCGTAGCTTGGGGAACAAGGTGTTTCTGGACAGGTTTAATGGGAAGGACGGCGTGATGCACTGTCTGGCGAGGAGGAAGTTCTACACTATGTGGAGCGGGTACAAGAGCGATGACTGGTGCGACACCAAAGAGTATACGAATTGCGCTTGGGTTGTGCCCAATTTCGATACGCACAAGGAAGAGGAGCTCCGTTGGGCTCGATGATGAAGTTCGTTTTGAATTGGAAACAAATACGCACAAGCCTAAATTGTTTTATCTTTGTAATCTACAAGTGCTCTCTTTTAATTTTCTTGTTGTTTAGTTTGGCTATTTCTAACTATTGCGATAGTAGATGTTTTCCTTTTGGATTCTATAGTAGAGAGACTCTTTCACCTTTTCTCCCTTATAATCTTGCACGAATTTGTTTTATGACGCATAATCTTGCTCGGGTTGAAATCTAAGTTGATCCATATATTTCTCATTATGTGTTTAACTTGGCTATGCTATTGTTTACTCAATGATTGAAAAAACGTATCGTAGGTTGTATCCGCGGTATAGTATTTTAAGTTGAAATCATGACTTACCCGTGGTCCAACTATTTTATACTATCAAATACTATTTATTGATTTCATCTTTGATATGAAATTAATTTTTTGATCGAACCTTTGTTATGTTACAGTATGGTTTTTCAACCCTCATGTTTACAATTATTAGATGACCATGTTTTATTTCTCCTTGAACATGTTATTGTTCGGAGGATTATATTAGGTTGAATTCCTGAATTCCTCAAAGTGTAAAAGTTGGGGACTCCTAATCATGTTGCTTCCTAAATAAAAAATCGATATGTGAGGATGAGATTAATTATTAACTAAATAAGTTGCTTTACTAATTTTTATGGATAGTTACAATACTTGTATGGTTCAAAATACATCATGTTTTTTGAATTTTCTGTACAAATCTAGAAGCATTGCTGGTTTGATGTGACAAACTAATAACACTTTAGGCGAAGCCCACATCAACTAAGCACGAGAGAGATCCACAATTCATAAGTAAGAAACCGACCTTAATATATAAGACGTGGTTTGAGGTGATACGGAAGAGTTATTGTGAGAACTTCAAAGTTAAACGTGCTCACATTGGTGGAGCATTGCAAATATGAGTGACCTTATGCGAAGTCACCTTGATCTGCACCCTAAAGCAAAAAATGTGATGGTTTATACCCAAAGCGACAATATCTTGGTCGGGAAAGGGTTTGTGATGTTTAAGAAACTATCACAAGTCTCATATTTTATGTGAGATTGTTGGGATAGTTTATGTGATATCGTTGGAGTTTTTGTTCCAACTATATCCCTAACTTTTTCTTATGTGTTGCATTTTTATATTAAAAATAAAGAGTAAAAGTGACATATCCATCAAAAAGTAATATAATTTATTCAAATACTATAATAAGTTAATAACTATCACAAAAACTAAACAATGTAAACTACAATATAACAATTTTCTTAAATACATGTATAGTTTACAATGCATCAATTTAACAATCACCAAAACCAAATCACCCCTAAATTTTTATAATAAGTTGTGACACACATTTAGTAGCATAGTGAAAACATAAAGAATTGAAAGTTATAGTAATTCTAGTAATTCTATATAATACAGCAGGCCCTCCCTACAAATAACTACTAAAAATGACAAGGAGGATCGGTGCAATCCATGGCAGATGCTCCCAAGCCCAAAATTGGACGATGAACATCGCCCCATCAATCTCCTTGGTGGCTTTCGGCGTTGCATTACAGAGGGAGCGGTAGATATGAGCTAGGCAAGCAGATGCCTAGCTTAGGTTCCCCATATCCTCCCAATCACCAAGGAGGATCTTCAACCATCCATTTCTGATTAAGTTGTTGGATTTTTTGGGGAAGAACACTCCTCCGATCATTGCCGATGAGGTAGACAAGCACGTAGGCTTCCTTATCCACCTCCTCACTTTCCTTTGTGAAGGGAATGCCATCTTCATTAGGATCTTGCCTCCTCTTGATCTCCGATGTCAGCCAAGTGATGGATACTTGGCGGCTCCTCAATGGTGCAGTATTATCGTCCTCATATGCTCCTCTTTCCTTTTCTGGCACGAAAACCCCAAGGTGCTCCATAGAAAATACTGCCAACCTCTCATCTCGTCAATATCTGAATGTGGTGGATGATTGTCCACACACACAGCATCGTAGTCGATGGGCAAATCGGTTTAGGATGGCAATGTCTTTCAGTGTGATGTGCACTAGCCTTCACGAAAGTTGAAGCAATGTGTCTCATTTTGCCATCTCTCCACCAATGATGTGATGAGTTAGCGGTCGATCTTTATCCTTACAAAGTGCCTAATCGAATCCAACCTTGCCATTCTTAGAAAGGGTAAGATGGCGTCATTCCATGGGAGCACATTGCTCGTACCCCTATAGCGGACTATATGGTGTGCATCCTAGCAAAGAATTTAACTTTCACCATAAGTTTATGATTTATAAATGTATTGAAACTTCCCACCTCTTTGAACTAGGAAAAAGACATTTCTACCCCGGGGTATAATTAAAAATCTCAAATAACACAAGTTTAAAATAAAATACCAACTCAAATATCTCAATATCTCAAATTGAAGCCCTAAACACGTGGGCAAAACTCAAATTGTCCAAAAGCACTGAATCTCCAGTCTTTAACTCTTAACCATAAAGACTTAATAACTTGAAAAAGTTCTCTGATGCTTACTCTGACGCTTGGCTCGACATCTCTCAGCGACGATGGTGTGGAGCTCCTCTAGCTTGCTGATCACGGACTGGCTGGTTAGGATTTCCTCCTCTACGATCTGGTGAGTGAGGTGGGGTCAGTCTACGCCCTTGCGATAAAATCTATAGTACTTTAGTACTCTTCTCTAAACACTTAACTTCTACTGGTGGAAGTCGTTTTTGTACTTCCATTCTTAACAATCTTAACTCATAAAAAATTCTTCGGGAGTTAAAGTTACTCTCCTTTCTTAAAGCTCAAAACTTGACTTAAATCTTTTGACTGACACGGGGATCCCTCACTAGCTAGTCCGGTTGCCAACTCATACGTATGAGAAAACATCTAGGCTTTCCTTAAACTTAACTTAGTTAGGGAAGTCGTAACGATTCATCCCCCTAACATCTTAAACTTATCGTGGTAGCTCTTCACCACGATTCTCAAGGGCATAACTGCTGCCCATCTTAAAAGTCTCAAGAGCATAACTGCTGCTCTATCTCAAACTGTCTCAAAAGGTAACGGACTGGCGCTAGTGACTAAAAACACTTAAAACGACTTCACCTTCTTGAAGGTGAGTTACTTCTTAAAAAGAACTTGTTTCTTAACTTTAACAATAACTTATAAACTTAAAGCTTAAATTTAAATAAGAACTCATGCACATTCACATCAAGCATAGCTCAAACAAAATCACATATCATCAACCATAAGCACAATCAAACAACGACATTCACTTCATCAAAATACTCAAGACTTGTAATTCTTGAAAGAACACGTAAGGCGTAGAATTTACCCCCATTACACTCACCTTGTAAAGCTGACTCCTCGATCCTTTATTCGAAGAAATCCCCCTAGCCGAATTATCTCGGTGAACCTATTAATAAGAAAGTCATCTCCTTAGTCGATCTTTATCGATTTAGGATTCCCTTTTGGGTCACTCGAACATCCTCTCCTCAACATCCAGCCCTCAAGACTCGCTCCCAAGATCTCTTAACCCCCTTTAAATTTTTTCTAAAAACAGTACCTTCAAAACCGACCACCTTTCCTAATTATTTTAGTCTTGGACGAATTTTCCACCTAACTTGAACCTTCTTAAAAATTCAGATCATAATTTTCCTATATCAATAATGACTACTTATACCCTGTAAAATTATCAAACCATTATAAACTCCTCGGAATTATTTTTATTTAATTAAAACGAATGCTCAAACAATTTCTAAAATTAAAAATACATCTTCAAAAATCCGCAAATTAATTTACAGTTGTCTCCTAGAACTCTTTCAATTTATGAAATTTTTAAACTCAAGAACAAACCCCCATAAGGACTCGAAACAATTTACACCATCTAAAACAATTTCTGAAAAATTCCCAGCAGCTTTAGTGACCACCAAAATTCTGTCACTAAAAGCCTGAATGTCTGTTGCCAAAAACTCAGAATTGCACCCTCACGAAAAATTCCCAAATTAATCGACCTAACTCAAAGGGATCGAGTTCCCTTACCTCTAGAACGTGCCTAGGCCTAGGTTGAATGACCTGGGATGGTGATCTTCTTGTTGATCGAACCCTCAATGTCACCGCTAAAAAATGAGCTTCAGATTAGACTACCGATGAATCGAAGTTAGAAACCGCGATGGGGTTCGTGATCCTTACCTAGAAACACGAAAGGAATGAATTGGGAATCGGGGTCGGGATCGAAATCGGGAGCCGGGATCAACTCCTTCTCTTTCCCTCTCGCCCGCGCGGGGCTGGGGACAGTGGTGGCTTGATTTTTTTGGTCTCTAGGGAAAAGTCGAATGCTGGGGAATTTTTTTGGAGGGAATTGCTGGGCAATTTTGTTCCAGGGCAGCTGGGGTTTTGGTTTTTAGGTGGCCGGGGAAAAAGGCGGCTGGGGAAAATTTTATGGAGGGGCCGGCCCACTCTGGCCACCCTATTAAGCCTTTTTTTTTATAATGATAATAGGAATAATAATAACAATAGTTATTATTATTATTGTTATTAATCCGCGGTTGTAACTCTTAGTACTTAACCGTCAACCCAACCGATCATGTATTAAGGTCGAACCTAAACCTAAAAGTCGGAGTGTTACATTTCCTCCACCCTTACAAAAAATTTCGTCCCCGAAATTTGAACGGTAGAGCAATCTCTTGAACGATTTAACGTTGTATTCGAAGGAATGATGCTAGTTGGGATAGAACATTTCCCTCCCCCTTAAGGAATTTCGACCTCGAAATTGTAGGTTGAACTGGGTTGGTAGCTATCGTAAAACCGGCCGAACACCCCAGGTCTTATTATTGAAAAAACGAGAAATGGGAACTAAAAAGAGTACTACAAGTGAGAGTACACAGAAGTTCACCCACTAACGATCTAAACACCAAAAAAAAACTCTGGGTACTTCTCTCTCATGCTACTCTCTGTCTCCCAAGTCGCAGCCTCGTTGCCCTGGTTTCTCCATACCACCTTTACCATGGCAATCTTCTTCCTCCTCAACTCTTTTTCCTGCCTATCC